TATATGTGATCATAAGTGGGCGGTGCCACGCCCATTTTCCAAAATTTTACCATAAACGTATTTCTTGGTAAAGAATTGTTGCAAGCATCAATTTTGAATAAATTAGCTTCAATATTTACTGATTTATCGAAGATTTTGTATTTCTCTAAATTACCGTTATATGGGATGTGGGCGTGGTTATTGTCCGATTTTAAAAAGTTTCGGCACTATTGTATGCTGTACCAAGGCCAACAACTGTGCCAAGTTTGGAAGAAATTGGTGCGGCGGCTACCAAGATATACACATGTAACCATAAGTGGGCGTGGCTACGCCCATTTTGCAAAAATTTATAATATTCTTATTTTTCGTCTAAAAATTATTGTAAATATCAATTTTGAGTGAATTATCTTCAGTAGTTACTAAAATATCGCAGTTTTCGTATTTCTGGAAATTACCGTTATATGGGAAGTGGGCGTGGTTAAAGTCCGATTTCGCCCATTTTCAATACCAACCTACCTTGGATTAAGGGAAACCTACATACCAAATTTCGTTGAGATATCTCAATTTTTGCTCGAGTTATCGTGTACACGGACAGACGGACAGACGGACAGACGGACAGACGGACAGACGGACGGACAGACAGATATGGCTTAATCCATTTCTTTTTTCATCATGATCATTTATGTACACATTTGTCTATATCTATCTCGATTCGTTTTGGCTGTTACAAACAACCGTTATGTGAACAAAATTAATATACCCTTGTGCACAAGTGCGCTCGGGTATAAAAATAATGTACATACATTATTTTATCGCATCTCCCAACTTTTTGTTGATGGAGTTAACCGATGTGTGCACTGAACGGCTCATATGTAAAATACTCCCTTGCTTTATTCATTGGGACATTAACTCTATATTGATACATATGCATGTACATACTTATATGTATACATACATATATGTGCACTTGCGCATGAGCGTATGCTTGTATGTACCCTGCAGTAAATCGCGCTAGTTCAGGACTAGCGCAGAACTAGATCTTTAAGAGGCGGTACTGGCTCTAAATCTATCCCAACGCAATGCTTCCAAATGTTTCTTTTTACATGGCGATGTCCTACGAAGTGGAAATTGCCCCCCTCTGCAGAACTTTCGAACTAGTTCTTAACTAGTTCCATTTGAACAGTTCTGGGTCAGCAAGTTTTTCTAAGAGAAGAAATTTTAAAACTCGATTATTAGATTATTTTTCTATTCTAAATTGGCTCCAATTCAGACAGATCTGCGACAATAAGTTTTTTATTAAAAAAATTCTGATTATTCGATTTTTTGATATTTTTTCGTTTTTTCTTTTCTTTTACAGATTGCATTCTATTAAATTTTTATTTATTTTTTTTTAGTTTGTTTATATTATTTGATCACTTTTGTCTTCAATTTTTAAGCGGCACTCAACAATTTATATTTCTTAAATTTGAAAATCCACCTCGACCTCCACCGCGATTTGAACTGGTGACCAACGATATTAGAGTCGGACGTCTTCCCACTGAGCTATTTTCGTATTGTACGAGAAGTGAGAATTTGTGCATTTACTTCTCAACAGAGCGCAACTAACACACCGAGAGTTTCAACTGTCCCTCCCTGCATCCGTTTTGCACTAGTTCAGAGATGGTTCTGAAATGTGTAGGGCGGAACTAGCGCTTTAAGAGACTGTCTCTAAATTTTACTGCAGGGTAGGTAAATATATACATTTACAAATGTACATATTTGTATATACACTTTCTTAAACAAAGAAATAAAAACAAATTTATCCAATACTACTTCTGGTTACAACATAGATATCTGCATTTAGCACTCTTAGGTTCGATATTTTTTATCTATTTCATATTTCGCAATACGTTCCTTCATTTCCAGCTCTTTATATTTGAAATCTAATTCTTTTTCGCGGAAATATTTATCATTTTCTGCTCTCTTTTCATCTATGTCTAATCTTTTCTTTTCTATGTCAACTGCCTCCTTCTCAACTTTTAATTTTTCACTTTCAAACTCTATTCTTTCCTTTTGAATTGTAGCTAATTGTCCCATAGCAGATCTTGGTCGTGCTTTAGTTTTCCCTGATTGCTTTGGGATTGGCAACGATGGCGAACGTGGTGAAGGAACTTCGGTTTCAACTAACTGTGTAATAGTTGATGACAGTGTTGGAGAAACGGATGCCAATGTCGCTATGGCTGGTGGTGATTCAGTTGATGGTAATTCTATCCATGGTGGTTCTGTTAATAGCAATTCTATACATGGTAGCTCTGTCGATGGTGATTCTGTCACTAGCAGTGGCGCCCGTAGTGCTATGCCTCGTGGTTCAAATATATTTTGGAGACGCCTATAGTGTGGACATATTTTGAGTATTTTGCCTGCAGATCATTGAAAATGGGTTTACCTAATTAACAGCAAATACATATATGAATCAATAAGTATCTATTTTTACCTTCTATGGATTCTTCTCCTTCAAGTACGCCAGCTCCAGTTGAATTCAACGAATCGTTGGCTTTTACGTGAGGCGCACCTTCCAGCGCACCAGCTCAGGGGTAGCCTCTATGAGGGTTTTTTCAATAAATTTTGTATAAAATATTTGTGCAGTTGGAAACTGAAATAAATATAAGAACATCAATATAAGTTTTAAACGAGGTTCTACGAATCTTCAGATTAAAAACATTGCTTACCTCAAACTTGGGCTCCTCTTCAAGAAAGTCCAGGATGAGCTCCACCTCTCGAGCCTGCCACTTTTTTTTTGGCTGTAACCTTACAACCGATCTTTTTCGCGTAATATCGCTCATTTTCTAAAAATTAAAACGATAAATTGTTGCAAAATAGTAAAATGAATTAAAACTACTTTTTATCCAACTTTCTGCTTGTTTACAAATGAAAAAACAGCTGACACATGGTTGCAAAAAGTATGCTACCAAATCATGCAATCAAAATAACACCAGGTTCATAGTAGCATGAGGGTGCAAAGATTGCATAATATTTGAACACATGAAACAACAACAAAAGTATCCAATCATGCTATTTATGCTATCTATGCACCGTGCTAGACAGTATGCATCGGATCGAGAATACCCCTAATGTTTTTTTTTTTATATTTGACTGTGTTAAATCCTCTACATTGCTTGCACAGTATACCAGTAGATGGGTTTTTGTTGTTGTGGCTGTTAATTTGGTCCCCATAAACGGCCTAAGGGTTGCGAGCAAGTGTTTTGCCGCATTCAGGGTGCTGTGCAGTAAAATAATGTGGTGAAAAATTTTAACATCGGATAAATGGCGAGAGAAATATTGTTATGAGCTTTATAAGTAAAGTTCTGAACACATTGAAAACGACGAGCTGGGCAACAGCTTCCAAGAAGGGTATACGTCAAACCTTATATATGCATCGTAAACCGTATAAACTTATAATTATGTAAACCTTATAAATGAACTGTCAAAATTTGTGTGGAAACTCGTTTACTCATTTCTGATTAATTTCTCCAGCGACTTCACTGAATAAACTTGATAAACTGAAGCCAATGCAACTCTGTCGCACCTCTAGTTTTCTTGGGCAATAATCTTGATCCGCATAAAAATTTTCCACGCAAATTCAACAACAACGACATGATTCCGATAGAGATCTGGATCAATTTATTATCCGTTCTGTTTGTTTATCTCACTGATAATTTGGGCACACAGTTTGGTAGCCGTGACAAATGAATTCATACATAAACAGACATTCTGCCATTGTTTCTTTTATGTTCTTCTTCTTCTTCTTTTTTGGCGCTGTAACCGCCTAAGCGATTTTGGCCGAGTTCAGCAAAGCACGCCAGTCGTTTCTCCTCTGTGCCAACTGACGCCAATTGGAAACGCCAAGTGAAGCCAAGTCCTTCTCCACCTGATCTTTCCATCGCAGTGGGGGCCTCCCTCTTCCTCTGCTACCACCAGCGGGTTCCGAGTTGAATACTTTCAGAGCTGGAGCGTCGGTGTCCATTCGAACGACATGACCAAGCCAGCGGAGCCGCTGTATTTTAATTCGCTGCACTATGTCCATGTCGTTGTAAAGCTCATACAGCTCATCGTTCCATCGTCTGCGGTACTCGCCGTCGCCAACGCGTAAAGGCCCGTAAATCTTCCGCAAAATCTTTCTCTCAAACACCCCAAGAGCCGCCTCATCGGATGTTGTCATTGTCCATGCTTCTGCGCCATATACCAGCACGGGCATGATGAGTGACTTATAGAGCGTGGTTTTCGTACGTCGAGAGAGGACTTTACTCCTGAATTGCCTACTCAGTCCAAAGTAGCACTTGTTGGCAAGAGTGATTCTACGTTGGATTTCAATGCTGACATTATTATCGGTGTTAATGCTGGTTCCCAAGTAAACGAAATTCTCTACTTTCTCGAAATTGTAACTGTCAACAGTGACGTGGGTGCCAAGGCGCGAATGTGCTGACTGTTTGTTTGATGACAGGAGATACTTCGTCTTGTCCTCGTTTACCACCAGACCCATGCGCTTTGCTTCCCTATCCAACTTGGAAAAGGCAGAACAGACTTCGCGGTTTTTGTTACCGATGATGTCGATGTCATCGGCATAAGCCAGCAATTGCACGCTCTTGTAGTAAATTGTTCCTGAGCGGTTCAGTTCTGCAGCTCTTATTATCTTCTCCAACATCAGATTAAAGAAGTCACATGAAAGGGAGTCGCCCTGTCTGAAACCCCGTTTTGTGGCGAACGGCTCGGAGAGGTCTTTTCCAATTCTGACGGAGCTGGTGGTATTGCTCAACGTCATTTTACACAGCCGTATGAGTTTTGAGGGGATGCCAAATTCAGACATAGCGGCGTATAGGCAACTCCTTTTAGTGCTGTCAAAAGCGGCTTTAAAGTCGACAAATAGGTGGTGAGTGTCGATCCTTTTCTCGCGGGTCTTTTCCAAGATTTGGCGTATTGTGAATACCTGGTCTATGGTGGATTTGCCAGGTCTAAAGCCACACTGATAAGGCCCAATCAGTTCATTGACGGTGGGCTTCAGTCTTTCACACAATACGCTCGATAAGACCTTGTAACCTATGCTTAGAAGGCTGATCCCGCGGTAGTTGGCGCGAATGGCGGGGTCACCTTTCTTGTGGATTGGGCAGAGCACACTTAAATTCCAGTCGTCGGGCATGCGTTCATCTGACCATATTCTGCACAAGAGTTGATGCATGCACCTTATCAACTCCTCGCCGCCGTACTTGAATAGCTCAGCTGGCAGGCTGTCAGCTCCAGCGGCTTTGTTGTTTTTCAGCCGCGTTATTGCTATACGTACCTCGTCATAGTCAGGCGGTGGAACGTCGACTCCGTCATCATCGACTGCGGGCTCGGGTTCTTCTTCTCCACAACTTTCCGTGCTGCTACCATTTAGTAGGGCGGAAAAGTGTTCCCTCCATAATTTAAGTACGCTCTGGACATCAGTTACTAGGTCGCCATTATTGTTCTTACAGGAGTGCGCCCCGGTCTTTAAACCTTCCGTAAGTCGCCTAACTCTCTGGTAAAATTTTCGGGCATTCCTCCTGTCGGCCAGCATTTCAAGCTCTTCGCACTCACGTATTTCTGCCTCTCTCTTCTTGTTGCGGCAAATACGTCTCGCTTCCCTCTTCAGATCCCTATAGCGGTCCCACATAGCGCGCGTTGCGCCCGATCGCAGCGTGGCCCTGTAGGCGGCATCTTTTTTCTCTGCAGCTTCCTGACACTCCTCATCGTACCAGTTGTTCTTTCGGGCTCGCTGAAATCCGACTACTTCTTCGGCGGCGGTACTTAATGAGCGGGAAATGTGGTTCCACTGCTCGCATATGTCGGTTTGTTGAAGAGTGCTCTCTGAGAGCAGGTGTGAGAGTCGAGTAGCGAAAGCGCTGGCTGTCTGTTGTGATTGCAGCTTTTCGACGTTAAGCTTTCCTTGCATATTTGGGCGCACATTTTTTGCTGCACAAAGCAGGGTGCGTATCTTGGCTGCAACAAGATAGTGGTCCGAGTCGATGTTTGGGCCTCGGAGTGTGCGTACGTCTAAAGCACTGGAAGCGTGCCTTCCGTCTATCACAACATGATCGATTTGGTTTCTCGTTTTTCGATCCGGAGACAGCCACGTAGCTTGATGGATCTTTTTATGCTTGAACCTAGTACTGCATACTACCATGTTTCGGGCCCCGGCGAAGTCGATCAGCCTCAATCCGTTGTCGGACGTTTCGTCGTGGAGGCTGAATTTTCCGACGGTGGTTCCAAAGATCCCTTCTTTGCCCACCCTGGCATTGAAGTCGCCAAGCACGATTTTGATATCATGACGGGGGCAGCGCTCGTACGTGCGCTCCAAGCGCTCATAGAAGAGATCCTTGGATGCCTCATCCTTCTCTTCCGTCGGGGCATGGGCGCAGATGAGCGAGATGTTGAAGAATCTCGCTTTGATGCGGATTGTGGCTAGACGCTCGTCCACCGGGGTGAACGACAGTACTCGGCGACGGAGTCTCTCTCCCACCACAAATCCAACTCCGAATTTGCGCTCCTTTACATGGCAGCTGTAGTAGACGTCGCAAGGCCCCAGACATTGTTTGCCTTGCCCCGTCCAACGCATTTCTTGGATGGCGGTGATGTCAGCTTTTGTCCTTACGAGGACATCAACCAGCCGGGCAGAGGCACCTTCCCCATTAAGGGTCCGGACATTCCAGGTGCATGCCCTCAAATCGTAGTCCTTTAAACATTTGCCGTGGTCGTCATCATAAGGGGGGGTCTCATCCGAGGCTTTGCCTTGCTTCTTCACTGGAAGTGGTTTTTACGTGGCGGGTCCCAAGCCCAGCGCACAACCCATTGCTGGGACGGGGGTGGTTTCGCAACCAAATACACGTTTATATAGCGAGCCGCTTGCTCCAAGCAGACACCCGCTTGCAGCCGCACCTACTGGTGAACAGACGCTGCAGACTTCAGTGAGCCCTTAAACCGAATAAGTCGGAGTGGCCCCACCGAAGCTCCCTCTCTTTCTGCCGTGACCCAAGGCTCCACTCGGATTCGCATCTCGCACATGGGTTGCTCACGTTGCCCAGAGTGCGCGAACGAGGACGCAAGAGTCGGGATTGAGTATAGCCATGCAACTGTAACTGCATACCCAGCGCAATGACTATACCCCATTGCACTCCACTTTTATGTTATGTGTATATTTATTTAAATAGATATTATCTCGTAAATATCATTTTTCCCATTTAGTGAGTTAGTTTCTATAATTTCTTTATCCTCCTGCTAGTAGTATAAAGTTACTGATACTGAGCTCGATGACCAAAGAAAACACGACTATTGTCGCAAGTATAAACGAAAAGAGAGTATGGGTCGTTCATGTACTAGAGTGCGTAAACCTATAATATTATCTGCTTGATAAAGTTATTGATTTAGATGAATACCACTAAT